ATCTTGTCTTTTATCTTCTTTTATTGTAGCAGCAAAAACAAGTAGTCTAACAATCAAAATATCATTTTTAGCTCGCCTATCCCACTTCACTAAGGTTAAAGTTTTTGGGCAAGGGTTTTTCCAGATAGTGTTGGATCATCCCTTTCGATACATTGTTGTCTGTTATAAGGTTGAGGCATTATATGGAGTGTAAGCAATGTGCTGAACCATATTTTCATATTTTAGGGGCCAAAACTGTGTAATTGGACTTGGTTTAAGTTTTTGAGAAAGTTTGTATGTGCAGTGTTGGATTGGTCATCAACATCAGTACGCTGTTGTCTTTTTCACGTTGCCTGGTTATCTCTTCTTTTGAAATGTACAACATATTAAGATACAGCAAAACCTTGTTATATTGCCACCATTTGTTCAAAGACATAGTGGCATTATAAAGGGGTTTGGCAATGAATTGAGGGAAACGTATAAAGGAATTCTTAAGAAAAACATAATTAAGGGACCTGAAAAAAGGTGGCAAATGAAATGACGGGCATTATATCAAGTAGTTTTTTTGTACATGTGTTTCTATTCATATTTTCTATCTTCCAAATATAACACCAATAGGCGAGCTATGCTGTTCTCCAACAGCTCTTGTTATATAAGGAGGCATTAATATAATTTCAAAAAAGTTACAAACCAAAATTTGGTAACCATAAGCTTCTTTTTCAGACGAAAATCCCCTTTTCTTTTGAAACTGGTCAGAAAGTTGTACATTTTTGTACATAAACATATGTTGTACATTTCAAAAGAGATAACCAGGCAAAAACGATCATCCACAATTTTATATCCACGAAACATTTTTTGTTTGAAAAAAAAAAGAAGCAATTTCTAAAGAGTGCGATGAATAAACATTAGTAGTAAACGATTTGTATGTTATCCATAAAGGTTCAATTTTGAACAATAAAAAGCAAGAAGGAAATTTGCTGAAATAAATATTCATGATAATAAGAAGGACGTTAAAGTCGGAAATAAAGGCAGAATCAATATTCAGCAAATGTTATTGTCTGGAAACAGATTTGGAAATTATCAAATACAGCAACGAGTGACAATTGAAGGAAACAAATCCATTGGAAATGTCTACAATGAATTAAAAATACTGAGCATTAATTAAAAAAAAATGTTTAAATATAAAGGTTTGTGCAATATCTGTTCACAGGAAAATGAAACAAAACGTCATTATTTTTACATACAGTATAGTTAAAGAGGTATGGATGAAGAGAAAGGCGACTTAAAATACAAGCTTACTAGAAATCAATCACGAAATAAATGAAAAAGATGTTTTTACAAGAAACAAAAACAGATAATGTTTATGTAATCAATATATTAAATATTGTTATATACACCTGGAAGGATATTTGGGAAACAACAGACAAAACAAAAAAACAAATACAGGAAGTATGATTATGTACAGACAGATAGGGAATCACATCAAACAGAATGGGGAAAATATACGTAAAAATAACAAACGATAAATATAAAAATCAGATTTCTATAATAGACAGAATAGTATGCCATTCGACCAATTTACACATCATTTGAAATGCCTATGGTGTATGTACGTGAGACATGTCGTTAATCAGATATGACAGTCCATCAGACTATCAATCAAATATGTTGTTAAACAGATATGACAGTCCATCAGACTATCAATCAAAGATGTTGTTAATCAGATATGACATACCATCAGACTATCAATCAAAGATGTTGTTAATCAGATATGACTTTCCATGAGACTATCAATCAAATATGTTGTTGATCAGATATGACATTCCTTCAGACTATCAATCAAGTATGTTGTTGATCAGATATGACATTCCATCAGACTATCAATCAAATATGTTGTTAATCAGATATGACTTTCCATCAGACTATCAATCAAATATGTTGTTGATCAGATATGACATTCCATCAGACTATCAATCAAATATGTTGTTGATCAGATATGACATTCCATCAGACTATCAATCAAATATGTTGTTGATCAGATATGACATTCCATCAGACTATCAATCAAATATGTTGTTGATCAGATATGACATTCCATCAGACTATCAATCAAGTATGTTGTTAATCAGATATGACATTCCATCAGACTATCAATCAAATATGTTGTTGATCAGATATGACATTCCATCAGACTATCAATCAAATATGTTGTTGATCAGATATGACATTCCTTCAGACTATCAATCAAGTATGTTGTTAATCAGATATGACTTTCCATCAGACTATCAATCAAATATGTTGTTAATCAGATATGACTTTCCATTAGACTATCAATAAAATATGTTGTAAATCAGATATGACTTTCCATCAGACTATCAATCAAATATGTTGTTAATCAGATATGACATTACATCAGACTATTAATCAAATATGTTGTTAATCAGATATGACATTACATCAGACTATCAATCAATTATGTTGTTAATCAGATATGACTTTACATCAGACTATCAATCAATTATATTGTTAATCAGACATGACTTTCCATCAGACTATCAATCAAATATGTTGTAAATCAGATATGACTTTACATCAGACTATTAATATATAATGTTGTTGATCAGATATGACATTCCATCAGACTATCAATCAAATATGTTATTAATCAGATATGACTTTCCATCAGACTATCAATATAACATGTTGTTAATCCGATATGACTTTCCATCAGACTATTAATCAAATATGTTGTTAATCAGATATGACTTTCCATCAGACTATCAATCAAATATCTTGTTAATCAGATATGACTTTTAATCAGACTATCAATCAAATATATTGTTAATCAGATATGACTTTCCATCAGACTATCAATCAAATATGTTGTTAATCAGATATGACTTTCCATCAGACTATCAATCAAATATGTTGTTAATCAGATATGACTTTCCATCAGACTATCAATCAAATATCTTGTTAATCATATATGACTTTTAATCAGACTATCAATCAAATATATTGTTAATCAGATATGACTTTCCATCAGACTATCAATCAATTATGTTGTTAATCAGATATGACTTTCCATCAGACTATCAATCAAGTATATTGTTAGTCAGATATGACTTTCCATCAGACTATCAATCAAATACGTTGTTAATCAGATATGACATTACATCAGACTATCAATCAAATATGTTGTTAATCAGATATGACATTACATCAGACTATCAATCAAATATGTTGTTAATCAGATATGACATTACATCAGACTATCAATCAAATATGTTGTTAATCAGATATGACATTACATCAGACTATCAATCAAATATGTTGTTAATCAGATATGACATTACATCAGACTATCAATCAAATATGTTGTTAATCAGATATGACATTACATCAGACTATCAATCAAATATGTTGTTAATCAGATATGACATTACATCAGACTATCAATCAAATATGTTGTTAATCAGATATGACATTACATCAGACTATCAATCAAATATGTTGTTAATCAGATATGACATTACATCAGACTATCAATCAAATATGTTGTTAATCAGATATGACATTACATCAGACTATTAATCAAATATGTTGTTAATCAGATATGACATTACATCAGACTATCAATCAAATATGTTGTTAATCAGATATGACTTTCCATCAGACTATTAATCAAATATGTTGTTAATCAGATATGACTTTCCATCAGATTATCAATCAAATATC